ATGAATTGTAAGATATGCCATTATTTTATTTAGCATAATAAAATAAAAATAACCTGCCAGTTAAGCAGTGAACATGTATTATCAATTTTAAGATGTATCTGAATCACAGAGGTGTTAGAATGTAAAAAAATATTCATTTTAGAACCTACGAGACAGGGTTGGAGGAGACTTACTTTGTTTTTTAAACATTTTTTTTGTCTTTTGCTTTTGTTGTTCTTATTTTATTTCTTCTTTAGAGACAGAGTCTTGCTCTGTTGCTCAGGCTAGAGTGCAGTGGCGCCATCTCGGCTCATTGCAGCCTCTACCTCCCAGTTTCAAGCATTTCTCCTTGCCTCATCCTCCCTATTAGCTGGGATTACAGGTGCCCACAACCATGCCTGGCTAATATTTGTAGTTTTTTAGTTTTTTTGTAGTTTTTTAGCAACGGGGTTTTGCCATGTTGGCCAGGTTGGCCTCAAACTCCTGACCTCAGGTGATCCACCAGCCTCAGCTTCCCAAAGTGCTGGGATTATAGGTTTGAGCCACCACGACCGGCCTCTTACTTCTAACTAGAGCTAATTCAATTTTGTAACAAAGGCCAATAACAATTTATGAATAGTAGCTAATATTTATCCGATGCGCAGTATGGACATGACCTTGGGCTAATTGCTTTTTACCAATTACTTAATTTAATTATTTCTTAATCCATTGAGTAAAGGTGTTAGTATCTCCATTTTACTGATGGGTAAAACGATTTAAAGAGGGTAAGCAATTTCCCTAAGGTCACACAATGGCTGAGTATCCCAGCGGAGACTAAAATGCAGGTCTGTCTATCTCTCAAAGTGGTTTATGTTTTTAACCACTGTACCAGTAGGTGATCTGATAAAGACCTGAGTTCCTGCAAAGGAAAAAAAAAATAAAGACATTTCATTTCAGTCAGCATTTACCAGTATCATTTTTTTCTGAGGGAGCTTTCAGATAGCAAAATATTGTTATGCCAACTAATAAGAAGGCTATCTTAAGAGACTAGAGTGTATGATAGAATATGTTAGGAAGAATTAAGAAAAAAAAAGACTAATGAATGACCTATCTTAAACTATGACTATATTTCTGATGTTACTATTGCATAACTAGACTTCATACTGCTGGATAATGGATTTTAAATTGCATGTTTAAGTAGAGTAAGAACTCTATAGTTAGTGGGTTATATTTAAGTGACCACAGAATAGATAAGGTACCCAATTAAAGAGTACATTTTTCCAAACCTCTAATTTGTGTTAGGATATTTAATTACCATCCTCTATGTACAGGCATGAATTTTGATCCAGTAGCAATGAAGTCTGGCCCAGAAGCTTGCAGACTCAGAATTATTTATCAGCAAGTATCACTTAACTCACATTTGACACAACTGTTTACATTCACAGACAATTTTGGGTTGTCTGAATTTAGAAGAGGTTGGCTAATCCTTGATTAACCTGAGGTAACGGATAGAATTCTAAGATAAAAATGTCAGTTTGCTAGCATCTTAATAGGTTTAGTCTGATCACCCTATAAACTGAACCAGGAGGTTTTAAACTTTTTGGTTTCAGGACCCCTATACACATGGATGACCTTAAAGAGCTTTTCCTCATGTGGGCTGTAACTATTTTATTTATTTATTTATTGGCAGAGTCTTGCTCTGCCGACAGGCTGGAGTGCAATGTCAACAGAGTGCAATGGCTCACTACAATCTCCGCCTCCTGGGTTCAAGCGATTCTCCTTCCTCAGCCTCCTGAGTAGCTGGGAGTACAGGCGTGGGCTACCATGCCCAGCTACTTTTTGTATTTTTAATAGAGACAGGGTTTCACCATGTTGGCCAGGATGGTCTCCATCTCTTGACCTCATGATCTGCCCATCTCAGCTTCCCAAAGTGCTGGAATTACAGGTATAAGCCACCCTGCCCAGCTGTAACTATCATTATTTACCATACCAGAAATTTAAATGGATACAGCTGTAAAAAGAAAGAGATCATGTCTTCTGCAGGAACATGGATAGAGCTGGAGGCTATCATCCTTAGCAAACTAACACAGAAACAGACAACCAACTACCACATGTTCTCACTTATAAGCAGAGCTAAATGATAAGAATTTATGAATACAAACAAGGAAACAACACAGTGGGGTCTACTTGAGGAGGTTGGGAGGAGGGAGAGAAGCAGAAAAGATAACTATTGGGTACTGGGCTTGATACCTGGGTAAGGAAATAATGTGTTTAACAGACCCTAACAAAACTGCATATGTACCACCAAACCCAAAATGAAAGTTTTTAAAAAAAAGTATAATAGTTTTAGCGGTGGAAGTTATTCCAGTCACACAGCACGAAAATATGTAGTTGGGAATCCCTATGAGTCTGTAGCAACTTTAATTCTTGCCTCCTCAGAAAAAGAGTTGGACTGAAGGGCATAAGGCAGAAGAGGCTGCAGGAAGTCTTAGAGCAGGAGCGAAAAAGTTTATTAAAAAGCTTTTGAGGCTGGGCGCGGTAGCTCACGCTTATAATCCCAGCACTTTGGGAGGCCTATGCAGGCGAATCACCTGAGGTCGGGAGTTTGAGACCAGCCAGACCAACATGGAGAAATCTGTGTCTACTAAAAACACGAAATTAGCCGGGCCTGGTGGCGCATACCTGTAATCCCAGCTACTCGGGAGGCTGAGGCAGGAGAGAGGTTGCCATAAACTGAGTGGCGCCATTGCACTCCAGCCTGAGCAACAAGAGAGAAACTCCGTTTCAAAAAAAAAAAAAACAGCTTTAGAGCAGCGGGCCGGCATGGTGGCTCACACCTGTAATACCATCACTTTGGGAGGCCAAAGCGGGCAGATCACCTGAGGTCAGGAGTTTCAAACTAACCTGGCTAACATGGTGAAAGCCCATCTCTACTAAAAATACAAAATCAGTCATGCGTGGTAGCTGGTGCCTGTAATCCCAGCTACTTGGGAAGCTAAGGCAGGAGAATCACTTGAACCCTGGAGTCCAAGGTTGCAGTGAGCTGAGATAACGCCATTGCTCTCCAGCCTGGGCGAAGAGAGAGAGAGAGAGAGAGAGAGAGAGAGAGAGAGAGAGAGAGAGAGAGAGAGAGAGGGTGGGGGGGGGGGGGGGGGGGGGGGAGGGGAGCGGTGAAGCTTTAGAGCAGGAATGAAAAGAAAGTACACTTAGAAGAGGGCCAACCTGGCAACTTGAAAGACCAAGTAGGCGGGGCATCGTGGCTCATGCCTATAATCCCAACATTTTGGGAGGCTAAGGGGTGGGGGGGTTGGGTCACTTGAGGTTGGGAGTTCGAGACCAGCCTGGCCAACATGGTGAAACCCCTTCTCTACTAAAAATACAAAAATTAGCCAGGCATGATGGCGTGTGACTGTAATCCCAGCTACTCGGGAGGCTGAGGCAGGAGAATTGTTTGAACCTGGGAGGCGGAGATTGCAGTGAGCCGAGATCGTTCCATTGCACTCCAGCCTGGGCAACAAGAGCGAAAATCTGCCTAAAACAAAAAAAACCAAGTGCACTTTTGACTTGGGGCTTTACTTTATATGTTGGTATGTTGGCATACTTGTGGGGTCTTGCGTCCTTTTTCCCTTATTCTTCCCTTGGGGTTGGCTGTCTGCATGCGCAGTGGCCTGCAAGCACTTGGGAGGTGAGCACGTGCAGCGTGTTTACTGGAGTTGTACCCACTCTGACTTGAGGTGTTCTTCCCTTACCGGCTGCATGTCCCTAGGAGGTCAAACACCAGTTAAACGCTGCCATTTTGCTTCTTAGTGCGCAGGTCGGAGCCCACTCGACCAACTCTTGAGAAGCTACTGATCACCAGTTTCAGGTTTTTCCTATCTATAGGGAGACTGCCTTTCCCTGGTGCTGGCTGCGACCAATGATTTTAGAGAGGCAGCTAACCGCCTGACATTACCCGATGGTCGCCTGACATCCCAGGTTGAAGGCGTGGTGGGGAGAGCCCTCTCTTGCCCTGTTCATGTTTACCTACCTACCTACCTACCTACGATAACAACAGTAGGAGCAGTAATATCGAATTACATTGTTAATTTATTTTCTTTTGAAATCTTTTAACTCAATCATGTTGAAGGAGCCTCAAGTCAGCCTCGTGTTGATGAGATACTTTTGTTATGGAACTCTTACGCGAACCATCAAATTTTAAGTCAATATTCTTTTTATACCCATCTAAGCAATGCTTGGCCACATAAACCACATTTCCCTACTGTATCAAAGAATCCAGAAAACTGTATAAGACGGTGCTCTAAATATGTTACCCAGCCTGCCCTTTGGAACTTCTAAATCCTATAAAAAGAGAAATTAAAAAAAAAATTACATAGAGAAATTTAAAAAATATGTATTAATTCATTTAAAATAATAATCCCTCATTACATGTTAATATAAATAACATATTTTGTGAAAAATAACTACATTTTCCTAAATAAAAATATTTCATGAGAGGAGTGGCATTGTTTCACATTTTTGCAAATTTCTTTCATGTGTGGCTTTATAAATGACAGCTGAACTCTCTTAGTTGCATTTGCATTCTGTCTTTTGTGATATCATATGTCATGTGACCTCAGTAAAACCCTAATATTCATTTGACAGAATGAAGGTCAAAAAAAAAGGGCAAATAACATGGTATTATATTATAATGAAATTAGTTTTAGTTTAAAGGTTTCTCAAAAAGGTATTGAAGCCTTCTGAAAGTTGAGCAGGGTGGTGGGGGGAGTCCCTGGACCACCCATTGAGAACCACCGAACACCAGGAAATGGATTAATGGATTATTCATAGTTCAAAGACACAAACAATATTAGATAAAATACTTTCTAGAGGCTGGGTGTGGTGGCTCCTGTAATCCAACCACTTTGGAGGCAAAGGCGGGCGGATCACCTGAGGTTAGGAGTTCAAGAACAGCCTGACCAACATGTTGAAACCCCACCTTTATTAAAAAAAAAATACTTTCTAGAGACCAATATTCTTTAAAGGTTTATTTCTTTTTTAAAAAAATTGTGGTAATATATATATAGCATAAAAGTTTACAATTTTAACCATTCTAAGTGTACAGTTCAGTGGTATTAAGTACATTCACACTGTTGTGTAACAATTACGACCAACCATCTCCAGAAAATTTTCATCTTCCTAAACTAAAACTTCATACTCATTAAATAACTCCCCATTCTTCCTACCCTACAGCCTCTGGCAAATACCATTTCTGCTTTTTTATATTTTTTACTTTTAGAAACAGGGTCTCTCTCTCTTGCTCAGGCTGGGGCTGGAATGCAGTGATGGAAATCATAGCTTACTGTAGCCTCAAACTCATGGGCTCAAGGAATCCTCCTGCCTCAGCCTCCTGAGTAGTTGGGACTATAGGTGTGCCCCATCAAACCTGGCTATTTATTTTATTTTATTTTATTTTTTTAGTGACAGGATCTTGCTATGTTGTTCAGGCTGGTCTCATACTTCTGGGCTCCAGAGATCCTCCCACCTCCACTTCCCAAAGTATTGGGATTACAGGTGAAGCCACAGTGCCCAGCAGTACTTTTTGTCTATGAATTTGACTACTTTAGGTACCTCATATGAGTGGAATCATATATTTGTCCTTTTGTGTCTGGCTTATTTCACTTAACATAATGTCTTCAAGGTTCATCCATATTGTTGCATATGTCAGAATTTCATTTCTTTCTAAAGCTTAATAATATTCCATTGTATGTATATATCACATGATATTTATCCATTCACTTGTTGATGGCCACTTGGTTTGCTTTCACCTTTTGGCTATTGTGAATAATGCTGTTATAAACGTTGATGTGCAAATATCTGTTTGTGTCCCTGCTTTTAATTATTTTTCTTAATTTTTTAGTCTATGACCATTTTGCCAAACTTGCCAACAGTTCTTTTGGGTAAATACTCAGAAGTGGAATTACTATGTTATATGGTAATTCTATGTTTAATTCTTTTAGAAACTACCATATGGTTTTCCTGTGTCCACATTTTCAACACTTTCTATTTCTTGTTGAAACTTTAAAGTTACATTATTTGGAGTACTAATTTATTTTTATTTTTTGGATTTTGTTCAATAATTAGCAAATGTCCAATAAGTAGCTCATGGATTTGGTAAATAATGTAAGATTATGAGTTCTCTGGAAGATAGCTTTCTCATAGCCCTGGCCTTTAAGGAGCACTCAAACTAAACTAGAACATGAAAGTAAATTCTTTTAATAGAGGAATAAAGATAAGAGGGTAGTTCTGAAATGGTGATCCTCAGACCATGAGTAATCAAATTCACCTACAGGTGATCTGGGAGCTGTCAGAAAAATCAACAGTTCATGGCCGGGCACAGTGGCTCATGCCTGCAATCCCAGCACTTTGGGAGGCTGAAGCGGGCGGATCACTTGAAATCAGGAGTTTGAGACCAGCCTGGCCAATATGGTGAAATACAGTCTTTACTAAAAATACAAAATTTAGCCGGGTGTGGTGGTGGGTGCCTGTAATCCCAGCTACTTGGAAGGTTGAGACAGGAGAATTGCTTTACTTGGGAGGCTGAGACAGGACAATTGCTTCAACCCAGGAAGCAGAGGTTGCAGTGAGCCAGGATCACACCACTGCCCTCTAACCAGGGCGACACAGCGAGATTCCGTCTTGAAAAGGAAAAATCAAGAGTTCACCATTATGCCAATGTCTATCCTTCGTCGATGGTACAACCTTGACAGACAGTCCCAGTAGCATGAATCCCTGCCCACGTACAAATTTAGAGAGAAGGACCCATAAAATGCTGCATTCCTATGCCTGCCAACACCCATAACTCTAAGGGCCAGAGAAGTTTCCAGAAGTTCTTTGTAAAAAGAACAGAGGAACAGGAAAGGACAAGGAAGAGAAAGTTTGCAGAAGAAAGGAGTGGGCCGTAGTTTTAGGTGTGTTTGTGTTCCCTTTATCTTGAGGCTGTAAGGTTGGTGGTGTTTAGGTAATCTGGGTTGTAACTCTACCCTCCAAGGCATGGGGGCAGATAGGGATAGGGCGGGCTCACTTGGCTGCCTGCCTATCCTTCAAGGAGCTCCACAGCTAGGTAGTAAAGAGATTCACAGCAGAATTGGTATCTCTATCTGGTAACACTCGTGGGAGATATTGTTTAAAATATTTATGTATTTCTTCTTCTTTTCTTCCCCAATTCTCATTTTCTTTTCTTACTAGCTTTCTTTTTATCTTCAAATTTTCACTTGCTAATATGCAACTGCATATTTGAATGTGCTGACTTTTTGGTGCAAAAGTGATGGCTTTTTGGTGCAAATAGTCTGCTGTCAAGACATCCAGTTTAAATCCGCTTTGCCACAGAAGAACTTTAAGGGAAAAACAATTAATAAAATTAATTTACATCTGTTTCTTTCAAGTTCAATGCCTACAGGATCTGTATGAATTCCAATAATTATTTACATTTTATTCATAAAAGAACAATCAAATATGAAAATTATGATTTTGGTTTTGGCATCTTCTGAACTGTTGAGGAAGCAGATCCCAGCACTCAATAGATTCTGTACTAGGAAAAGTTTTTAGCATGAAACAATAAAGCGTTCCCTTAACTGTAACAGTCTATATACTCCAGTGAAGTTTAGTTTTGAACCTGAACACAAGAAATGATGTCAAAAATTCCCAAGGCTTAAAAACACACACATACACACAGACACACACACACACACACACACACACACACACACACACTTCTTTTAAAACCCTTGCCTGCTTATTGATTCTTCAGGAAGATACACACATGTTACACAGAATAAGAAAGACATGTCATTTAGAAAGTAATAAATGGTGCAAATCACACTGTAGGAAAAAAGAGAATAGTTTTATATTAGAATAATGGCAAAAAACACAGAACAATTTTTGAAATACATTTCAAGGTAACAATAAAATTAATCACTGACAATGTACAATGTGATATTTGCTGAGCAATTCATAGGTTATTTTCAGAGACTACACACTTTACTTTTGTCTATATCTGCATTAATAACAGAGGATCATTCAAGTTTCTGATATCTGATATGGCCAATTTTGGCTGTTCAGGGCCAGGTCATAACTATGACTATTCTGCTAGCTATTGTATCCACCAGCATGACAGGAGAGGCCACTGTCAAAGAAAACAGTGAAAAAGAAGTTCAAACAATTTAATGTTAGAATCAAGTGTGCCTTAACAAAGGCTGTGCATGTTGAGTCACTGGTAGCAGTGATCTTCCTTCTTTCTTTCCTTTTTTGTCTTTAGATCTGGTTTTTTTTTTGTTGTTGTTTGTTTGTTTGTTTTTGCCAACTCACTGAGCACAGATCTGTTTTTTTTGTGTGTGTGTTTTGTTCTTATTTTTTATTTTTTGCTGTTCCAAATTTGTTTATTAATTCTGTAAGAGCAGTGTTTTGGTCCTTTGGCCAGTTATTAAATATCATGTCTCAGTGCCACATCCACCCTTTCCTAATCTTGTTTTATGATCCTGGTGCTGGGACTATGTAAACCACCTTTCTGCTTTGCCAGGTGCTGTCTGAGAGATGCTTCAATAGGGAATATCAGAGAGAGAGTGTGAAGGACTAGAGGAGGGAGGATGGACTTCCTTCTTTCCTGTTGGTTCTTCCTCTTATAGCAGTGCCCCAGTCTCATTTTTAACTCTGGCTAAGTTTGATCCAGTATCAGTACAGCAGCTATACAGTCCAGGTTACAGTCACAGTTTGCTTAACACTTGGAGAACTAAACTCATCACACCCCCTCAAATACCTAGTGTCAGCTGGTCAGCATTACTTCCTTAGATATTTAGATCCTAATTCCATAGAGACCCTTCTCTGAGCAAAAAGACCATAGCACCAGTTAAGTAGCACCTCCTTTTCAGAGATCTGATACTCAGTTTTTCGGAGCTCCTCCTCCAAGCTTCTAAGTTTTTTTTTTTTTTAATTGCATTTTAGGTTTTGGGGTACATGTGAAGAACATGCAAGATTGTTGCACAGGTACACACATGGCAGTGTGATTTGCTGCTTTCCTCCCCTTCACCTATAATTATTCTAGCCTTTTCCCTCTGTTCCTCAAGCCCCAGGGGTAGAAGCTCCTTTTTACAATCTATCTATAATCTGTATATCTATATATAATCTTAGTGTTTTATTTTTCCCTTGTTAATTCTTGATGACCTAGTTAGCAGTTCTTCAACTTTTTCTGTTAAAAGAAGTTGTATAATTTCTGGCTCCTAACTAATACAGTTTTGATTCCTAGATTCTACAATCTCTCTCTTCCACCTTTTAGTTTGTTATTTTATCATTTTGTAATAAGTTCTTATTTTATCACAAACATGCTAACACAAATAGCTCTTACATTTTTCTAGTCTCTGTGTTATGTTTAGATAGTATTTGGTGTGCCATCCTCCTTTCCTTACTGCTGCTTTCTTTGCTGAGTTTATTTGCATAGTTGCTGTGTTTTCCTTTACCTTGTTCATGCTTATGTTTTTCATAAAGTTTCATTTCACATTGTTCATGCATAACATAGGCAACTCCTTTCTAGACATGTTTTGTTCTGAAGAACATGAGTATGAGTAAACCTCTTGGCACCTTTCTGCCTATTTGATAAGTATTTATGTTTTTCTATAGCTACAGTTTTAGGAAAAAATAACAGGAACAGATTTATTAAGGTCCAGGAAATGATAAACAAATGCACTATATTTTCTTATTATAGAATCTCAGAAATGGTTATATAATGAAGTATCTCTTTGCTGGGCAATGACCTGTCTTAATTTTAGAAATCTGTCTGCAAATATGAATCATGCTGATCAGAGTATGGTCATGTTTTTATCCAAAGAATGGACAATTAAGGGCAACTTGTATTGCATGTATAACTAAGTAATATTCATTAAAAAAAACCTTTTATTTTATCTTTTAGGTCGCAAAAATCATGTAATCTCAAGACCAAAAATAAAAAGTACTGTGTCACCTTACCATCCTTAGCACTGCTAATTGGATCAGGGCTGTAGACATTGGACCTTGGTCAGAGATCTATGAGAGTCTTGTGGGCAAGCTCTGCCCAAAAAAGACCCCACCAATATAGCATAGTAAATGCCCCAAATAATCAGATACTCTATTTGAGGACATTTCAACGTGAGACATAAGGGAAATAGTTTGGTAGTAGTAGGAATTGTGGAAGCAGAGTTAAAGAATATCCAAGTCTCTTTAAAAGCAGAGTACCTGACTAGGGATTGAGAAGGTAATATTACTTTGATGATGACAGTGCAACAAAATGTCTTATGCTTTAAGAGATTCTATTCTGGAACTACGTGTCAGACTTTACAAGCCATGTTATTGCTCATTAAGCCATCAATAGTTAAGGTAATTCAAAACTTAAAAGATTGTAACTTACAAAGACATTTGACTTGTTTCTGATTTTTCACTATTGCATATTAATAACTTCAGGTACTTACTTTTAATCTTCTGTTGAATGATTTATATAGCATAAACTCTCAGAAGTGATCTTAATGGTGTCAAGAAAAATATTGTGGCTTTTGCCACCTATGTTGTCATATTATTTTCCAAAAGGATTGTAACAATTTATCAGCAGAATTTGAGTATGGATTTCACTATAATCTCGTGTTGATTTTTTCCCCTAATTTTAAGAATATATAATTATGCCCTCAAAGCTTTCTTAGTTTATGTGTTTTTGATTCATATCATATACTGTTGAGGCCAGGTGCGGTGGCTCACTCCTGGAATCCCAGCGCTTTGAGAGGCTGGCTGATCACTTGAGGCCAGGAGTTCGAGACCAGCCTGGCCAACATGGTGAAACTCTGTCTCTACTAGAAAAAATATACAAAAATTAGCCAGGTGTGGTGGCACATGCCTGTAATCCTAGCTACTCGGGAGGCTGAGGCAGGAAAATCGCTTGAACCTGGGAGGTGGAGGCTGCAGTGAGCTGAGATTGCACCACTGCACTCCAGCCTGGGAAATAGAATGAGACCCTGTCTCAAATAAACAAACAAACAAACAAAACCCCAAATATTGTTGAGAAATTTTGATGAACTTTATGCAGACCTAAAAGTCCTCATGCCCTATGGACTAGCAGATTCAACTTCAAAGCTGTAAATGATGACGTTAGAGTTAGCAATGTGTAAACCTTAGATTGACTTTCTAGTGTTTGTGAACTTGAAAACAAAGGCCTGATTAAATGTAGACCACAGTATGAGATTGACAGACTTCTGCTTGGACTAGACGTGATCTCATCAGTGCTTCAACAAAAGGCCACTATCCATTGCATTAATTTCAATGTGAGGATTAGCTTTTATTCCAAATGATCTCAGAAAGTTTTGATCTTTAGACCAATTTTCTACTTGAATCCAATCTATAAATGTCAAGTTAATGCTTCTACTATGATACAGATTTCACTTTTAATAGGATGTCTTTAGATTTTATTGTGGTCCTAAAGTTACCTGTTCTGAATGAAGAAAAAATTTTCCAGTTTCGTTTTGATGGCTCTAATTGCTAAGAACTTCCCAGTATGGAAAGATAGACAGAAGGCCACAGTTAACATTTGTTCTTGGATCTACTCTCTGGTTTTTTAAAATCATCTATAGCAAAGTAACAAAAACAAAAACAAGAAAAAAAGGTAATGTGAAAGGATCTAGTCCAGATGGCTAAGTAGAATCATTTTTGCCCCACTCTCCATACATAATGTTGAACTAAAAGTAATAATAATAATTTAAGAAATATGTACCCAAGCTCAAAATCAAGAAAAAAATTCTCCAGAAATGTATAGACATAAACGGGAGAAGGAGTTGAAGCTTTGCTGCCTATAGGAGGAATCAAATTGATCTGTGTCTTTGGGGTAGGGCACATCTAAGGGCTGGGAGCTGAAGCTGCTGCCTTGTGCCTGGTGCCTGCAAGGAGCTGCAAAATTACTACACTGCCTAAGAATGAGGACCAGGAAAACCCAAAGGCCAGGAGTTACTGCAAACACGAGCCAACCCTTCATAGATGAAAACAGGATGATGACCTGCAAGCAACAGAGGCCTTAGGAACCACTTCTGAGTGGGGGTTATCCTAAATATCGAGTATCCAAAATCAAGAAACAAATATAAAGATTTAAAAAATCCACAGGGCTCAGGCATAAGTAACAATGAAACCATCCCACAGGGAGGCTTCTATTCCCCAGGTATTCATAGGACATCATAGAAGTTATAATTAGCTGAAGAGAAACTCTCAGGCGAAAAAAATATAAAATACATAAAGAGCATATTTGTGTTCAAGCTGGATTTAAAAACCAAGTTAACATCTAGCTACTTCTAATGAAATGGGAGAACAATGAAAAAGAAAAAAATATTCTAAAACTAACAGAAGGTTAACCAGAGAGGAAAGACAATTGAATTCCTCATTAGCAAAAGTAAATGCCAGAAAACAGTAAAATAATATCTTCAGCGTGCTGATGTTTCATCATGAGTATATGAATGTATAATTTCATTTTTAATAGCTGTCAACATAAAATTCTATATCATGATTAATTATCATTGAAGAGTAAAGGTAAAATACCTTTGCTGATATACAAATAGTTTATTATCCCTAGATACTTGAACAAACCACCAAAGAATGTACTTCAACAAGAAGGAAAATAAATCTATTTGGAGGAGTGGACACAGAGAATTGGGCTTGGGAACAATCACAGCTGAATTTTGTAAAGCATGTACAATTTTGCCTTGGGAAATACATTTCTATTCTATGTCAAATACAATGTTGAAAGACAAATTCTTGCCTTTGCAAATTTTTCCAGTAGACACTGAAGTTATAACTGTCATAAAAGATATCAAAAACATTTGGTTTTCTTAATGTAATACCTAGACTTGTACCACAAGTATTATAAACTCTTAAAAATGAAAATTATACATTCACACAATCATAATTAAGCATATAGTTAGAGGCTGAGTAAAAAGAAAGGTCAGCTTTTAATTTGGAATTAACTGTTTTAAATTCTGGTAAGTGTTAATACTTAAAGTGAGTTGGAATTCCCAGTATTAATCAGGAATAAATGACTTCAATCTCTAAACATCCTGAACTTGGTCTGAGGTGAGTTGATCTCATTACCTTTGACTTTTTGTAACCCTTCACTTCTTTCTTGAATTAAAGGGTTTGTAGAAGACTACAATACTTATTACTGCAAACCTATATTTCTGTGGTTGTAATGGGCATATTAGCAGTTCTGAGGTTGACCTCAACTTTTAAATACCTTATCATTTGCTATCTCATTTTGAACATATTATTTTCTTCTTGCTTCTGTCATTGGTATTTTTCTTTGTATGAGGTCAGGTGAGTTACTTCAAGGTGAAAATTGTTGCTCAAATAAATTTTAGCCATTTCATGTTAAGCACAGAGCATTTACTCAAGTAATCTAGAAAATTTTAAACCATGACATTTCTCAAGATGTCGATGAAGAAGTATGAATGGTAGACCTGGTACCTATCTATGTGGAATGTACAGTTTGCTGGGAAAATGAGACACACGAAACTGGATGGGGCCAGTTTATGGGTGTCTCCACTGAAAGATTTAAGCAGTTTGGATTTCATAGGGAATGGTGACTGAATGACTTTTCAGAGTAAGCAAGTGATATTCCAAAAAGCATGTTTTAGAATAATATAAGTATAAATCTAAACATTCTCTTATGATCTTTGCAATTACTGCCAGCTCTTTATTATCTACGTCAAGGTTATTTACTTATTGTGAAAACTAATCTCAGCGAATATTTAGACTAGAAACTGG